ATATAATTGTAAACAACGCCCACTAAAAACTACAAAACGCAAACTGTAAAACCACAACTTTGCATGTATCTTTCATGCCAAATGTAGCGAAGATCCGTCAACAGGGGGCGAAGTAGTGGTAAAAACCGCAAAACTGAAAGTTTCTATGTATACCCACATGGATCTAATGAACCAATTTTAGTAACGATCTATCCAAACTCTGTGAAGTAGTTATATGGACATATAGCATACACTACTGTTATATTTATGTAGATGATATACCCCAATACGTTGTACCAGACAACGATAAAACATTTAATGGAGTAAAAGTTAATACCAGAACCGCCATTTTTATTTTAATATACTGCAGTATACAACTGAACTATTGACCATATGGAAGGTCAATATATTAGTATTGACCATATGGAAAGTCAACGTATTCAGACTGTTATATCAGTAACTAGCCATAAGTTCGGTGAATCGTGAATGTGGAAAATGTCCCCACATTTCTGTTCTTGTTTGTTACAGATCATCTCTGATTTTGAGGTGATAGGCAACTGGTCAGCAGCACCCACCGCCTGTAAAATAGGAAAACCCAAAGACAAGGGTTGAGAACAAGGAGAACCATATTTACTTGTATATTCAGCCCAAATGTCCGAAGAATTGGTAACGTACGTGACGTTTAGGCCCGACATGGCCTGGTGGTTAGGGCGCTTGACTAGCAATCTGCGAATCGCGGGTTCGAATTCCCGTCACACCAAACATGCTCGCCCCTTTATCCGTGGGGGCGTTATAATGTACGGTCAATCCCACAATTCGTTGGTAAAAGAATTGTCCAAGAGTTGGCGGTGGGTGGTGATGACTAGCTGACTTTCATCTAGTCTTACACTGCTAAATTAGGGACGGCTAGCGCAGATAGCCCAGCTTTGCGCGAAATTCCAAAACAAACAATTAATCATGTTTTATTTTTGATAAAAGAGTTAGTACAAAGGATCACATATAAAGTGTAATAGACTTAAATTTTACATCAAACAGAAACAGAGAAATTAAAGAAGCTTACAGGATAGCACTGTTAAATACCGTAACGCCGAATTGCATCAATCTTCATTCTGGGATTGTTGACCTTCGAGCGTTTCTAAAAAAAATTCCGAATAACTTGTAATTAAGTTTGTAAATTATTATTATTCACATTTTTATTCATGCTTCTATTTCTCTACATTATTATTATTTCATGTATTGATTTACATTATTATTTTCTCAAGCTCTCATCTTCCTATGTATTTCATTTTTATCTATCAGTCAAAAGTTTCATACTTAATGAAAATTAATATTTTTTTTTTGTTGTTTTGTTCTCTCTACAAATGAATTCTCCCGGGTTTCGATATTCGTGCCGGGCACAGCCCAGATAGCCCATTGTGTAGCCTTGTGCCTAATTACCAACAACCATTTAATTAAAGATTGTATTTAACATAATTTGTCAACATATCTGTTTAGTTGCACAATATAGCCTACCTCCTGTAAGTAATACAAAGTAATTTGAATATTAAGTTAAAGTGGTGGTACGAAAGGTTCTCACTTTTGTCACCAGGTTTTTTCGGAAATTGTAATTGATTAAACTTCTTTCACCCGTTTCTGTTATTTTTTAAACTCCCGATGTTAACTAGAATCGTCTTTACGGCGTAGAGTAAGCTATATATATATACGTAGGAATTTTGTAATATATTGTGATTATTTTTCTAAGCAATAAATTAATTAAGGATAAACTCCCAAAACACTAACCAAACATTTTAGTTAACTATTTTGTTGATGATTTATTGTATTCCCAGCCATAATTAGGGCGTCAGTATTACGGCGAAGAACTGCGATTCTTAACGCTAGATGGCGCTAGCCTTCCTTTCTTGGTTTGGCTGTTGTTAAGCGAAAAACTATTTGTGCTCGAAACCCGAATTTTAGCGTCGTATTTGTAGAACTTTCCATCCAGTATTTCCTAAAGAAGTTTTATTTATTTAATATAAGTTGGTCCACATTATTTTCAGTCAACTCAAATGTGTGTCCAATGTTATAGAAGCTGAACTTAAATAGGTGCATAGGAAATAGGTTTCGTTCCAACTAAAGGGCCACTACTAATTTCGCTTTAGATTTTTGTAGTAGTATCTTCACAGATCTTGCGTTACAAAGTTATCCACAAAAAATCTCCAGTTTTTTGTTACGACACATCCAAAGTTATCCACAAAAAAATCTCCAGTTTTTTGTTACGACACATCCAAAGTTATCCAGCTGTTGATTAATTTCGTCACATACCTACTAAAAGTTTTTTCTTGTTATTGTAATTTCAACAATATTTGCCTAATCTAGAAACAAGATGGCTAAAAACGATTGAAATATATATATATATAAAAAAACTATTGAAATGATAAATGAAAGCATAACACTACTTATGCTTTCGAAAGGTGGACTTTTCTTCTTGAAGGGCAAACTGGGAATGGTGGTGTAATCGAATGAGTGGTATATATAAAGGAAGTTTAGTGACGTCATCAATGTCATCCGGTTATGCATGATGTTTAGGGAAAATTCATTAAAAATAGCGAAAAAATTAACCCTTTAATTTAATCTTGAAAGTACACATACAATTGTTTATTGAGTTCAGAATTCTTGTCTCTAGCTTATATTATATATCAAACTTATCCTCAGTCACTGTGTAAACAATACACAGCCATATCTCTGTTTTGGTAAAATGTATGAGCTATAACATGTATAATTATTATACATTAAAAAGAAGGTCAACCTGTTTACAAAGTAAGTGTAAAATATTACAAACGTTCATAATAATAGTATAATCTCAGGAGGTTCCGTTTTTCTTTTTTAATCTGGGTGAAACTTGTCTTCAGCAAGAACAATAGTTTCCTATAAAATAAACAACATAATATTCATGAAATATTTCAAACACAGCAATTGTGTGTTTCCATGAAGTGACATTACTTACTTAAGATGATAAGATCCTGTTCATCTTTTTAAAAAAAAGCTCAAGAATATTTCCGTTATCAGGATTCTTTGTAACACGAGTTCCATGATGGTAAGCAGTCCCTTTCTGATCTACTGTTGATCCAAAACGTCCATGATTGTACGCCATCCATTTCTGATCCACTGTTGATCCAAAACGTCCATTATAGTAAGCCATCCCTTTCTGATCCACTGTTGATCCAAAACGTCCATGATAGTAAGCCATCCCTTTCTGAGCCACTGTTGATCCAAAACGTCCATGATAGTAAGCCATCCATTTCTGATCTACTGTTGATCCAAAACGTCCATGATTGTAAGCCACCCATTTCTGATCTACTGTTGATCCAAAACGTCCATGATTGTAAGCCATCCATTTCTGATCCACTGTTGATCCAAAACGTCCATGATTGTAAGTCATCCATTTCTGATCCACTGTTGATCCAAAACGTCCATGATTGTAATCCAACCATTTCTGATCTACTGTTGATCCAAAACGTCTATGATGGTAAGCAATCCCTTTCAGATCCACTGTTGATCCAAAACGTCCATGATAGTAAGCCTTCCATTTCTGATCCATTGTTGATCCAAAGTGTGATGTGAGGATCATTCACTTCACCGGTAAAGTTATTGGCTGTGCCACTTGGTGGTCAATATTTGGTCCATCTAGCACCACGAAAACTCGTTCCTAATTGATGTAATAACAAGATAACGAAGGAATTTGTTGTGTGTAACCTGTAAACAAAAAAAGGGAACCCCATAGCTCTTCAAAAATAGAAACGAGTTACGGTTTCATTTGTTTCGGGTTTTCGCGCAGAGATACAGAAGGACTATCTGCGCTAGCCGCTACTTATTTTGAACTGATGGATTAAAGGGAAGACAGCTAGATAACGCTACCCACCGCCAACTCTTTGGCTACTCAAATATAATAGTGAAATTTAACCAAAATTCTTATAACGCACACGCAACCCCAACGGGCGGGGCGCGAAACATGGACCTTCATATCTACAATCCAGCACGCTATCCACGATTGTATGTTCTCAGGTTTGCAGTGTCGTTTTGTTTGTGTGTTTGTTGTTAAGCGCAAAGCCACACAGTGAGCTGTCAGTCCACAACGGGTACCTAAGCCTAGTTTGTAGCGTTATAAGCCAACAGACTTGCCACTGAGTCACTAGAGGGCGTTGCAATATCGCAAAGCAATGCCTCCTTGTCCTAAAGAACATAGGAAATTCCTGCGGACAACCAACAGTAACACGAATGCCACATTCAAGGCTGAAATTTACCCCACAATCCAAGACAAACTTTATCCCTGGAAAGATAGCCTTGAGCGTAAAACATAACTTAGAACAAACTAGCATGGTAGGCCTATCTTGTGATATGTCCATTGATTATAGCTTGTATGACTTCTCGACTCGTCGTAGTTTTAAACAAAATCTCTGTTAATTGGTTAGTTGTCTAGTCAAACATCTTTTGAATGTAAAAATATTAATCTAAGTAAATTGGCTGAGTGTAGCCTTGTAATTAATGTACCGGTTTGCTTATCGGAAGGTCCAAGGTTCAAGCCGCATTTTCAGCTGTAAAGGCTTTACAATTGTAACAGCCAATTCTGATATTTGGTTAAGAGTAGTTGTGTAGGCGGCTGGTGCTGCTGACTGGTTTCTTTTTTTCTGGTTTTCAAACCAGAAGAAATCAGTCAACAGTTCTCAATTAGTGCCTATGCAACTTCCGGGTCGCATAAGATGCGGTTAAGGTTGTAAATATCAAATCCTTAACGTCCCCCGTTTGGGACGGCGATAAAATTCCATACTTCCAACGCTAAAACCCGGGGTCCGATTCCTCGTGGTGGACACAGCAGATAGCCCAATGCGGCTTTGTTTTAAAACAAACGAACAAACGTAATACCCCATTATTTTCTTCATGTATGTGATTCACTAATAATTAGGCCTGATGGTTAGGACGCTCGAGTCACTATTTGTGGGTCGCGAGGTCGAACCCCGTCGCTAAATATGCTCGCCGTTTTCAGAAGTTGGGGCGTTATAATATGACGGTCAACCCCACTATTCGTTGGTGAAAAATAACCAAAGAGATGACGGTTGGCGGAGTTGTCTAGCTGCCTTCCCTCTATTCTGTCACTTCAATATTGGAGAGGGCTAATGGAGTTAGCCCTCAAGTAGCCTTGCACGAATTTAAACAAACAGTATTAATTAGCGGTTTATGAATATTTATCGGTATAACTGATATTTTTAGTATCTAAAATATTTATTTAACACTTGATGTTGTATGTGCGCTGTAATGAAAACCATGTACCCTGAGTGCCAGAGTTTAATCAGGAACACCTATACATCTGTGTTATTGAAAATTACGAGAGTTGACAGGTGCTTAACTAGAAATTAAGATAAGGTGTATCCTAGAAACCAGCGCTTTGCGACTTCTGATAATTTCCTTGATAGCAAACTATTTATCTAGTGGTCGAAATAATTTTCTCTCATTTATTTATATTGTACCTTAACCTTAAATACCTGTTTAAGTCTGAGAGTACCCGGATGTGGAGACTATTTACTGCGACCCATCCGCCTCATTTTGAGTTCAACTTCAGACAGTTTCATCTGCTATTAATGGCGATTGTGGTTCTGTCAAGCAGTATCATCACATATGCTAAAGGTAAGTTTAAAAGTAAGATAAGTTGTACGTCAGGTTTAGGTAAACGGTTTTGAAAAGCAATGTTCTCTAGTTCCTGGTCTGGGCATGAAAACTCGGAAGGCCCAAGGTTCGAGCCTTGATGTCGCTGAATACTCTACACACTTTCAACTGTGGGCGCATTATAGAAGAAACTGTCACTTTCACTACTCGGCTCAGAGAACTGGACACAGCTTTTTATATGGTTAGTAGATCAAAATTAGGAACTATACCTGAGCCCTATTTTATAGAGATTTCTGACCTAGTGGTTTAGTCCACGTGCAAATAGGGTATCATTCAAGTAGTAAATTCTAAATATTTACTCAGATATTAAAAGTGATAACTCTCGCTCTCCAAATTGTTTAGCGCAAAGCTACGTAATGGGCTATCTAAGCACTATCCACTGCAGGGAATCGAACCCCGGATTTTAGTGTTGTAACTCCGTAAACTTATTGCTTAACCGCTAGGGGACCTCGTTCTTTAAAAATATTGTTGTATGTCACAGGACATTATATTTACTGGTTCTTTCAGAGGAGCATTTAAAGATTCTCATCCAACTTTTGACTAAAAAAAAAACTCATTAAACACTTAGGCATAATAAAGTACGTTTTACTAATATTTGTCCTTATTTAAGATTTTTTTATATATTTTCATTCCAGTAACAAAAATTCTAAGATTTAACTAGAGGGCACTACTGTGAAGTCAAATCAGTACACAATATTTCATTTTTAACACACACACACAAAAGAGTAATTTCTGATCATGTGACATGTTCCAAGGATTACCTTTTCCTCAGAAGACACCTTGTGAGTGTTTTACTAAACACAAAATCTCACTATTTATCTCCATAAATTCTCTATTATCTTTTAAATTTCTAAATAGCTGAAAGATGGCGCTTTCTGGCAATGTATACGTCGGTTCTCAGAGTGACATCTAGATGTAATTTTCATTTTGTGATTTAATACTGAAACCCGTGCTGCAGTTTTTGATGAACTGAAAAGTTTGGTTTGAATTTCGCGCAGAGCTACACGAGGGCTATCTGGTAACTCTTGGGACACTCTTCTCTGAGAGAAGAGTGGAATTTGACCCTAACTCTTATAGGGCATTCATGTCCTAAGTGTGCGGAACGAGATTTTTGGGCAAATGGTTACAAGCCATAAACCTCAAATTCGCACTCCAGGCACGATAGCCACTAGGCCACACACGACCCTAAGTGAGAATGACACTTTAACTAACAAAAGCACTCAGCTTGTTTTTTATTTGTCACTTATTCTGATTTTACAACCTTGTGACTCTTTAATAACTTTTTATTTACTATTATCAGTGACAAAGTGTAGCCATATTTCGTAATACACCTACTTTTACTGTCCTCAAACGTTACAAAACCGCGTTAATGTTGCTAATTTTTTCTTACTTCTTCTGGGTTATTATCTTTTTTAAAAATGCTTCACCATTTTCTTCTTTTTAAGGACAGAGATTTATTTTCGATGTTAATTAAACAAGTCTGTATAGCTTTTCTGAAAAATTAATGTAACGTGTTTTGTTCCTCATGCAAGAAATTGTCATGTTAAGTATACTGTCATTTTCCAATACGTTAACAACATTTAGTATATAAAATGTTGTGGGCGCAGTATAGAACTTATAACCGAATATCTAATTAGACCTTTACGGCCCGGCATGGCCAGGTGGTTAGGTCGCAATCT